GTGTCCAGGTTTTTGTACTTTCTGCGTTTCATAGGTCAAGCAGTAGGAAATGCAGACGGGGGCGGTTTACGGGCAAACTAATCGATAGCGAAATGTGTGCCACCCACAGCGGAAATAGATATTGAAGTTAGCAAAGCTACTCACCATATTACGCGACTTGGCTTCCATATTGGCCAAGAATTGCAGCTCGGCTGGCTGCTCTGTTAAGGCCAAACAGAATGCATTAAACCGAGTCTCATCCAATTGGGAAGGCGTTGCCGTTCCAGTTGCCGTAGCCGTTGCCTCTGCTTCCGCTTTGCCCGCTTTACGCTGTCCCAAATTGCTCCAGCTGCGATAATGCGCGAATTTTGCAATTTTTTCGCCGGATAACGGTTTGCTGCTGCTGCCGTTCGTTGTGCTGCCGTCGAGATGAGCGCGCGTACTGTGGTGGCCTACGCCGGCAGCAGCAGCAGCACCAGCAGCAGCAGTGGCAGCGACAGCGGCAGCGGCAGCGTTGCCTGTGCCTTTTGTGCCGCGCAAGCGCATAGAAGCGGAACGACGAAATGGAACAACAGGGGCAGCGCTGCTTGCTTGCGGTACGCGTGTGGATGCCGTTATTGTTGTGGGTGTTGCTGCATTTGCTGGCGCTTTTCGTGTTGTTGATGTAACTGCAACTGCTGCTTCGTCCTCTGCTACTGCTGCTGCTTCTTCTGTTGCTATTGTTGTTATTGTTGTTCTAGGTGTAACTGCTACTGGTGCTGCTGTTGCTTTTGTTGTGTTTGCTGTTGCTGAATCTTCTTTTACTATTGTTGTTGGCGGTGCAACTGCTGTTGCTGCTGGTATTATTGTCACTGTTGTTACTCCTGCAACTGTTGCTGTTGCTACTGCACTAGGTAAAGCTGCTGCTGCTGCTGCTGTTGCTGCAGCTTCTGTTGCTGCAGCTTCTGTTGCTGCTGGTATTATTGTTCCTGCAGTTGCTCCTGCTACTGTTGCTGTTGCACTAGGTAAAGTTGCTGTTGCTCTCGTTGTTGTAGCTTCTGCTTTAACTGCTGCTGCTGTTGCTGCTGCTGCTGTAGCTTCTGTTGCTGCTGTGTCTACTGCTGCTGCTGCTATTGTTGTTGTTCTAACTGCTTCCACTGAAGTTGTTGCTGTGTCTGCATCTACAGTTGCTGCTGCTTTTGACTTGATTGTCTCTGTTGCAGGTTCAGCTGCTCCTGCTGCTGCAGCTCCTGCTGTTGGCTGCTCCTTTGGCTCCATTGCTGAGGTTTCTGGAGGCAGCAACGACGTCATCGCTGAACGCTGCTACTGTGTGGCTGTAAATAGAAAACAAAAAGTGAAATTATAATAATGCAAATTAATGCAATTGTTGCTGCTGCACTTTCAAAAAGTAGAAAAAAAAAACAAAAACAAATTTGAGCAACCGTTTTAAATGCTTCATTATCTTAAACACTCGCGCGTAATTAAAAACTTTCTATGGCTGGAAAACAAATTAATGAGCAAATATGGCCAATTGGCAACCCTCCAAGTAACCCCCCCCCCCCCTCTCTCCCCCCTACATGTGCCATAGAAAGTGAAATCGGAGATGCGCTTGCATGTTGCACTCGGATTTTGGCGGCAAATCATGAAATTCCCATTATTTTTGTTGCTGTAATTTGCTCATCTGGTTGGTGTCTTAGCTATAAATATATGTATATATACATATAAAATGTATACATATACATCTATGGCTATGCAGCTTTGTTCTAGTTACGTCAAAGCTCAAGGCCAATGGCTTATCCATAACCAGCTGTGCACACGCATTTGCAGACACTGTACAAATTGCCCCAGCCTAGCCCATTGGGTCTGCCCCAACGGAAAAGTTACTTATCTACGTTTCTTTGAAATTAAAACAAAATAAATATATATAATTTATACTTAATGTTTTATGTAGATGTTTGGAAAACTGATTTCTCCGTCTCATTTTCCGTTGACTTCAACTAAATTTGAGTGAAAAGTCAAAGTTAATTTGCAGCAAGCTGAAATTCGAAAAACAAAACTGTTCTAATTTTTTTGTACACTTTTAGAGTTTCTTCTTTGTAGAGCATATATCACATTGAAATGCGATCTGTGTGGGAAACATTTGCCGCACGCTTAGAAAACACTTTGCAATCGCTCAACATTCGTTGCAACATTCTGTGGAAACTTGCAGATATTTGATATAAGACTCTTCGACTGTGGCCAAAAGAAGAAAAAACTCCCATTCCATAACAAGGGAATATCTGTGTAAAATCTTTAAATATATTTTCAAAGTGAGATATTAAAACTTCAATCCAAAGCTAATCCAAATCAATGTATAAATGGTTTTCCATTTTTCAGGGCTCACAACCCATGCACAGAACCCAATATACTCGCTTCATTTCCTTCAATAAACGGCAGAATTATGATAAAGCGATAATGAAATTGAAAATGAAAGAGCGTAAATAAAAATGTTCACTTTAAAAACGCTTTAAGAATGGTTAAATTATATTGATCTAAAAAACCAATACACTTCAGACTAATTGGTGCAGTGCGACCATTTAAATCTCTATTAAGTGGATTTAGTCTTAGTGTCTGGGATCTATTAGCTGTCGCTCCAGTTCGGCTCACAGCATTTCTCCAGCGATTACATTTAATTATTTCCGCTTATATCTTTCGCTGACTGACAACTGCAACGGCAACCACGACACCAACAAGGGCCATAGAAGGTCAATTTCACAGCTGAACAAACGTGTTTTTACCTTTGTTTTGTATACGCGGCCAGGAAATGAAGGGAGTATATAGGTTTTGGGCAATTTTCAGCTGTCTGCTTGAAGTCAAAGCAGTAATTAGAGATCTACATAGGTATGTATGTACATTGTATATGTATGTATATATCTATAGATAGTTCAAAATGGAGATAGTTAGATATAGAGTATATGTCTCAGACAGACTTGGACATCTAATCAAATTAAACAAATCTATAAACACCTTTATAGAGCTCTATATTCTTATTTATAGAACCTTCCATAGATCCATGCATTTGTCTAGATACATTTTACTATGTATATGAGTAGTCTCATAGGCGTCGTAGATTAGGACAAACTCAACTATCCTCCACAGTTTTAAAGTTAGGTTTATCATGTTATCATAGTTTAAGACTTAGCGTATTAAGTTTGGAGGTATGTAGCCTAAAAGATTTTGCAAATACTAAGATATATAATTTACATTAGGTATATATTTTCTGAACGTGCATCGCGTAGTCAGTCATGCCCGGTGGCAAAGTTTTCACTCATTTTCTACACACAAATTGTTAAGGTTTAAAATTTTAGTTAGCGTTTTCAATTGGTTTGCTGCCATGTTTTTACTCGTACAGTGAAGACGGCCTAAGACGAACGCACGCTCTTATACGATATGTGCGAAAATTTAACCAATTTTCCTTTTCAAAGAAACTTTAATTGATTTGGAATTTCAAAATCTCTATTAAAATGTTTACCAACTAGCTAGCCAGTCTCTACTGTAATTGTATTATGCTTTAATGTCGATAGCATTTGATTGCTTGGCAACGCATTTCTTTGAACTCAACGACAAGACAAGGTCGTTGTTTGATATGGAGTGCAACGTGTTGGCATCTCGATTGAATCTTTGAAGATAGCGGGTTTTTCGTATTTTCGTCTTCTTCTTACATTAATTTCGAAAAGTCAGGTTTGAGTTTGGGATATGTGAACTGAAGCGTAAGCTTACAAAAAACAAATAGCAATCAGCGTTAATTGGAGAAAAAACGCCCACAAATAAAAGAAAATAAAAATGCAGTAGAAAATAAAAAAAAATTTTAGGTAAAAATAAAACTAAGCGAATAACAGAAAAAAGAAGAGTAGATCAGGGAAATGAAACAAAAGAGTTCATTCACAATATACACTATTAAAAAAAATAGTAAAAAAAATTATAAATTATAAAACTATAATACAGAAAAAAGTATATTTTACAAATAAAAAGTAAAATATTTATTTATAAATTTGAAATAAAGGAAAACGAAAATGAAATAGATACTGCATACTAATAGCACTCACACTCGCAGTACTCGCTCTCTCCTCTTCTCTCTCACTCTCCCACGTAGCTTTATCAAAATAACAATTTTGTTGTTGCTTCTGATAAGAGACAATCGAGCAAATTGACGGCCTCAGCGAAAAGTGTAAATAATTTCAACGCGTATGGCTATTTATGTATATTATTTACCTCGTTTTACGTTGATTTGGCAATATTGCACAAACGATTTTCCAAGCACTTAGCGTGCTTAATTAAACTAATTGTTAATGGCAAAAAGCAAAACAAAAACAATAACCATAAAGAGAAGAAAACAAAGTCTGCGATTGAGCGAAGAGCAACGCGTGTTGCGAACGACAAAGTGCAACTGAAAATGTGGAAAATGCTTTTGTTGAAGATGGAAAACAGTTTCAAGCTGCCGCTGCGGCTGTGCCGGTGGCGGCTGATGCCCCAGCTAGAGCGAGACAGAAAATGGAGTAGCTAATGGTAGAAGTGTGTTGCAATCGAGCGAGTTGAGCGACGAGCCCAACGGATGGCATTTTAAAATGTTAAACTAGGTGAAAGGCAATTGCTAATTAATTGACCTAAAGTACAATGGGTTTTTTCACTTACCCCATTAAGCTGTTTCACATGGCATTTACAGTTTTTATGGGCTGACAAAGAAGTTGGCGCCATAACTAACGTCCGTCCAAGCGGAACGCATTGCAGCTATCCAAAGGAGTGCATGAAGTGGCTCTCTTTCTAAATGCAATGCCAAAGAGTTAAACTATAACACAATATACACTTATTCTTTAGATTTATACGAGCTTTGAGTTTTATTACGCTTATTTAAAATTTACTCAAGTTTATCCACATTTCAGTTAAATATCGCTATCGTATTCGATAAATGCAGCTGGTCACTCAGTCAGCTGTTGGGACAGTGTTGCTCTGAGCACAGTTATCGATAGGCCAAGTATTACTTGCACTTTGCCGACGCTGACTGTCAAAAAGACGAAAAGCAAAATCAAGAGCTGCTTTGTGTTTGTTGTTGCTGCCAGCAAAATTCTACTTTAAAAACAAAAAGTTCACAAACACCCGTTATTAAAATACCCACAGCGTAAGTGAGGCCACTTATAGAGTTTCTTTCCTTCGTCCTACTCACAGCTAAATGATTTATTTTGCAGTTGAATCATGGATCGTTTGCTACGTTTAGGCGGCGCTATGCCACAGGCTGCACCCCCAACAGATGCGCCCGTCGTGGACACCGCCGAGCAGGTGTACATATCATCTCTGGCGCTCTTGAAGATGCTCAAGCACGGTCGCGCTGGAGTGCCCATGGAAGTGATGGGCTTGATGCTGGGCGAGTTTGTCGACGATTACACGGTGCAGGTTATCGACGTGTTCGCTATGCCACAAACGGGCACGGGAGTCAGTGTGGAGGCCGTTGATCCCGTGTTTCAGGCCAAGATGTTGGACATGTTGAAGCAAACAGGCCGACCAGAAATGGTTGTCGGCTGGTACCATTCGCATCCGGGCTTCGGATGCTGGTTGTCCGGCGTGGATATCAACACCCAGCAATCCTTCGAGGCGCTGTCCGAGCGCGCCGTGGCCGTTGTCGTCGATCCCATACAATCGGTCAAGGGTAAAGTGGTCATCGATGCCTTCCGCCTGATCAACCCGAATATGTTGGTGCTCGGACAGGAGCCCAGGCAGACCACCTCGAATTTGGGCCATTTGCAGAAACCGTCGGTGCAGGCACTGATCCATGGCCTGAATCGTCATTATTATTCCATCAGCATTAACTATCGCAAAAACGAGCTGGAACAGAAAATGCTCTTGAACTTGCACAAAAAGTCCTGGAAAGATGGTCTCACACTGGCCGACTACAATGAGCACTGCTCCATTAATGAGGATACAGTCGCCGAAATGCTTGATTTGGCCAAGAACTATAATAAGGTGAGCTTCAAAATTTGTTTAACAATTATAAACAATTTGTATATTTGCATAGTGAATTTTGCATACTCTTTCAAAATTGCACATATTGTTGGCAGCTTTGCACGTTTGTTTTATTTTTGTCAGGTGGCAACTCTTGACGCAACAACAAATGTTCACTGCAGCCCTTTGAAAGTCACAAAAGTTCTGAAAGTTGTTCCTCTGAACTAGTTTTTTTATTGTTGCACCCAAAAGCGAACCAGTAATTGTTGCTTTTTTATTTTTGATTTGACTTGCATGCTGTCTCGCTCTAACAAATGGATTTTCTTCTACATCAATCAAAGCTATGAAATGATATTAGACTTAGTCTGTATAATTAATTTTTAGGTTACCTTTCGATCATTTTGATCCTGTACACTCAAAAATATTTAACTTATCTTCAAACCGTCATAAATGCTATCAGTATGGTTAATAGTATATTAACCATTATCTGCTTCCTTATCATATATTATACATAAATATATCATACATACATACATATGTATATGTATATTATATCCTATTGATTAAAATGTATAATAGAGTATTTAGATCATTTTTATAAAAATGGATAGTTGTAAAGGAAAAATGTTGAAATTTTTATAGAAACATCAACTGCGTCTATAATATAATTGCAATATATCTAATTTTCTCATTCTCGAATTTTCCCCCTCTTTGCAGTCTCTCGAGGACGAAGAGAAAATGACGCCCGAGCAGCTGGCGATTAAGAATGTGGGAAAACAGGACCCGAAACGGCATTTGGAGGAGAAAGTGGATAAGGTCATGCAAAACAATATTGTACAGTGCTTAGGAGCTATGTTGGACACCATTGTCTTTAAATAAAAATTGCATTTGCTGTTCTAGAGCATAAAAACAACCCTCAAATATAAATCATACCCATTCAGAAAACTCGAGTAAAATAAATTAAAAGAAAAACTGCTTTTAAGTTTTACACAGAAAACAAATAAATGTATTTTTATTGGAGCGACAAATTTTGCATAAATTTTTGCGACAAATTACGAATTATGAATTACTTATATTTTAAGTATAATAAATCTTATGAAACTTAAGACTAAGCAGACGCAGCAGCTGCGACGCCGACGTTCATGTTTTTGTTGTTGTTTGTAAACAGCAGCAGCTGCTGCTGCGTTTGGCTGCGCCGCCGACGTTGTCTTTGTTGCTGTTGTTGTTAACAGCGACAGCAACTGCGCCGCTTTTCTAATTAAAGATGGCGGACATGGCATTTAGGCGCGCTCGCCACGGATGCGTCTGGCCAACTGAATGTCCTTGGGCATGATGGTGACACGCTTGGCATGAATAGCGCACAAATTGGTGTCCTCGAACAGGCCAACCAAATAGGCTTCGGATGCTTCCTGCAATGGTAAAGTGTTCGAAATACTCATTACATTATGGCACTAAATTGGGCCCACACTCTATGCAACACCCCCCACTCCGCACTCCCACATTTGCAGACACAATACTTTTTTTTTGCTACTTCCCGCCAATTTACCTGCAATGCGCCGATAGCTGCCGACTGGAAACGCAAATCGGTCTTGAAATCTTGAGCAATTTCACGCACTAAGCGCTGGAACGGCAACTTGCGGATGAGCAGCTCTGTGGACTTTTGGTAGCGACGAATTTCTCTCAATGCCACGGTACCAGGGCGATAGCGATGAGGCTTCTTAACACCGCCAGTGGATGGGGCCGATTTGCGGGCCGCCTTGGTGGCCAATTGTTTGCGGGGCGCTTTTCCACCCGTCGATTTGCGAGCTGTTTGCTTAGTACGTGCCATTATTCGAAGTGGAAAATTCCTTTTTTTTCACTAGGTTGATCGGTTGAGCACTTTTTCTCACGGGTAAAACGACGTCCGAACTGTACGAAAACTTTTCAATGAATGAAAGGTGAAGGGGTCGGGCGGAGTCGATACTGCTGGATTATTTTCGTTATTCGAGGAGTATCGATAGTGATGGAATCTTGAATTAGAAAACTATCGTAATTATCTAAGCGTATATTCGTATACCATTCGGAGTATTCAATATTCATGTCGAAATGTCCATATATAGAAAATAGTTATTACCTAATAATATTAAATATAATCATATAATCAGATACATATAAGCTCAAATTTAGTAGTCCAGTCTTAGCCCCTGCCAGCGCGGCTTTGAAATTTTAGATTGAAAGTTTTCAAATTAAAAGATTGACGATGAAATGGTTGCACAATAGTTTTATGACACCTTTAGAGCAGTAAGAACTGTTTACCAGTATTTGCTATTTCAATTGTTGGTGTAACATGTCTTATAATTGTCATTAGTTGTGTACGTGACTCATCGCTGATGACGTCATTAAAATATTCTGATATGTGCGGCTGGCTGTACCTGGCTTTAATATTGGCACAATCGTGATTTACTCAATTATATCTCATCCCTACTATCGATATCATGACTAACAATCACCACTAACCAGACAACACACTGACGATATTGCGTTCAACATCAAAAGCCATCTCTATATACAAAGTAGCGGTAGTTTCAATTTTTGGTAAGGCAATTTTAAATGTCATTGTAAATTTTATACATATATGTATTTAAACTTTCTATTTTAAATTATAGCGAATCAAAATGGGTGATTCACAATATGGAATTTGTCCATATGATAGCTCGCATCGCATATTGCTCTTTAGAATGCCCGTCCACATAATAAAATGTGCGCGCAACTACAAAGGACCCCCATTAGAGATTTGCAAATATAATGCGACGCATCGCATAAAAGCGGACCTCATGGAACAGCATCTGGAAGAGTGCGCCGATTACAAAAAATTCCATGAATACGAATTATTACAAAAGGCGTTTCAAGTACGTAAATCACCGCCACGTTCTGAATAACGGAAAGCCAAATATTATGATGTAAAAAACAAGAAAGGAAATAAAAATGTGATAAATGCTTATTATTATTTTTTAGTAAAGCGATTCTACTCTTTAGCTGTATTAAAGTAAGAATATTATCTAGAACGGAAATACTATATACAAGAAACAGATTGCACGTTCCTCTTACTCAATTTTTCAGAAAAAAATACACAAATATGTATATACAGTGGCTTAAATTTTAAATTAATATCTACATTTACATAATTAAACGATATCCATTTCCAAGTCGGTGTCGATTTGCTCGTCCAGCAGCCTGTGGCTGTCTTCCTTCTCTTTAGTCTTTGATTGAGAGGTGGCGTCACTTAAATTCGATAAGGGACGCACCTTGCCGAGATTAACAACGGGACTTTGAGTATACAAATAAATTGCATATGATACGACGGCTATTGCCAATGCGGTATTCATATAGATGGGAATTGCGAACAGGAAATAGCAGAGCACAGCCGTAAACATCAGCTCCAGAGCGCTGGCAAATGTCTTAAGTATTGAGTTCATATACTTCAAAAAGAAACTTGTCACAATGCCTATAGCAGCATTGTTGATAATAATAATTATTACACCGAATCGCGCAATGCTGCTCAGGTTTTTCGCACTGAATGCGTCCAGCAATTCGCCTCTGAACAGCAGTATCAATGCATTACAAACGATTGAGTCCATGTACATAAATATATTCTGCACGAAAATGTTGACATCTGCGCCTTTGTCCTTCAGAAGGTATTCGTTGTAGACGCCGGCGAGGCAGGAGCAGATCGTTTGGGCTAGGATGAAGATGGCGTTTATGCTAAGGTCGAAGCCTGCCATATTTTTGCCATTTGCCTTGGAGTTCGTTTGCGTGGCATTCACAGCACTCGCACCCTGCAGGGCAGCCGCTTCGCTATCGTCATTTGCATCATTGTAGAACCTATTCAAATCCACTTGCTTTAGCATGCAGCCGAGCGTTAGTAGGATTAATGATATCCACTGTCGTTGCGACAGATACTTCTTGAATATGATTTGGAACAGTATACCAGTGACAACCACTCGTAATTGGAGCAAAAGGTAATACGTAGTCGGATCAAATGTCGCGAGATTCACAAAAGCTAAATTATTGTATAAACAGTAGAGAAGCGCTGGCACCATATAGAGTCCCAAAACACTTCGATCTTTGTGCACATCACGTACCAGCGACCGGAGACTCTTGCTATGGAAGCATAAAAAATCAATTAGTAAATTACTCAGAAATATATTCCACACTTACTCTTTGCAATAGAGGGATGTCGAAACAATTAGCTTAAAAACTTCCGTCAGTAGCACCACCGTCACGGTATTATAGCTATAAGAATTATTCGAGTCCTGCGATGCCGTCACAAAAATGCCTACGAGATGATATTGTAATAATTATAATAATTTGCAACTCAAGATATGCACTCACCTTGACCAATAAATAATGACATATACAGCAGAAATATAATAAAGGTCAATTTTGTGGGAAATAATTCACGCCAATTCGTCGTCATCTTGGGAGCTGCTGCTGAAGACTGTTTCTGTTGTTCAGCTCATGCAACTCTGTTTTGCTCGTTTGCTTTTGGAGTTTGACACGCTAACAATTTAATTTTCTTTGACTATTTTGAGATAAACTATTTTTTTTCTTTCTATTTATATTGCTATCATAGTCGGCTAAACAGCTGTTCGGCGACAGTGCTGCAAAATTGCTCGATATAGTCGGGCATTGTACAACTTTGGTCTTCTCTCAGTGTGTGTGCGTGTGCAGCCAACTTCAAGCCTTTTCTTCTTCGTCGTCGTCAAAATGGCAAACCGCGGTGGTCGTCATGCTCGCAATGAGGATTCAGAAAATACCATCAATTACGTGCAATGCGATGGTCTGGTAAGTTAAATATAGCGTAAACTGAACGTGGCACGTGCACGGCCCAAGATCAGTGCAGTAGAAAGGCGTGAAAAAGTCATGGCAGTGCCACGCGCTGCGCCTGCTATTTGTTTGTGTGCGTGAATATGTGTGTGAAAGAGAGACTGCCATAGGTTGAGAGAGCGAATGCTGCCGCATCGGTTGCAATTTGCAGACAATGGAGAGAAAGAGAGCGCCGCCTTAATTTCCAATGACTTTACAATTTAAATCTTTTAAATATAATTAAACATGTCCTCTTTTTAGGCCGTAATGAAAATGATTAAGCATTGCCATGAGGAGTCGAGCAATATGGATTTGGCCCAGGGCGCCCTTCTTGGCCTGGTTGTGGACAAGTGCCTGGAAATCACGAACTGCTTTCCCTTTCCCAAGAGCGGAGACGAGACCATGGACGAGGAGATGTATCAGCTGACTGTGATGCGTCGTCTGCGCCGCGTCAATGTCGATCACTTGCATGTGGGCTGGTATCAGAGCTCCGATGTGGGCAACAGCCTGTCTCTGGCCCTGCTCGAATCGCAGTATCACTACCAGACCAGCATCGAGGAATCTGTCGTGGTTGTCTACGACACACAGAAGTCTTCGCGTGGCTTCCTCTGCTTGAAGGCCTATCGTCTGACACCGCAGGCCATACAAATGTATAAGGATGGCGACTTCACACCCGAGGCATTCCGCACCCTGAAAGTGGGCTACGAGAGTCTCTTCGCCGAGATACCAATTGTCATCAAGAACTCGCCGTTGACCAACATTATGATGAGCGAACTGAATGAGCTGCTGCCGGAAGACAAGGGACACAACTTCCTGGACCTGGGCACCGCCTCAGTGCTGGAGAATCACATGCGCAGCCTGATCGAACGCGTGGACGAACTCTACCAGGAAGCTGTGCGCTACAATAAGTACCAGCAGGTGGTCTTCAAACAGGACACGGTAAGCGGTTGCTTTTCACAGTCTATTAGCTTGTATTAAGCTTTCTTTCTCATTCTGCAGGAAAAACATCGTGCTCTGGCTAAGTTGGCTGCTGAGAATGCTGTGCGCACTTCAAAGGGCGAGCCCACAGTGTCTGAGGAGGAGGTCATCAAACAATTCCGACCCCTGCCTGTGCCGGCCAGGTTAACGGCCACGATTACCTCTGGTCAAATCAATACGCATGCCCAGCATATTGCACAATTTTGCTCTCAATCGCTTGCTAAACTTTTCATCACCGAATCGCTGCAGAACGCCAAGGAAACCAAGGAGATCAAATAGTTTAGTTTATGTTACAAATCGAGTCTTTGTCTGTATAGCGGCAACAAACAATAAATCCCAAACAATTTGCAGCTGTGTGTAAATACAAGGCACAGCTGAGCGAACTCTTTATGTCACATACGAAATGCTCTCTTTATATGTAATGCTCTCTTTGCTGCGACTTTTAGCTGGCGGCTTTTATAGCTGTGAAAAGGCCAGATCAACAACATTTAAAAAGCTGAAAAAAAAACTTTTTGGAATCTACATCTAAAAGATAAAGTCTAGTGCTTCGATTATCGAGAAGAATGGATGCAATACATTCATAATATTATTGTAGTTTACAAACAGAAAAAAAACCAAAATCACTATTTGATATTACTGTATACCCGCCAGCTGGACGAAGTGCCATCTCTAATGTTTTACTCTCTTCATTTAGCTCACTCTTTGTTCTGATTGGTTGATTGTAAATGCACAGTTGTTTTTGGCTCTCCATCATGCTCTTTATGCTTGGCGGTGGTAGTTTTTTTTTTGCTGGTCAGCTCTGTGGTCTGCCCCGTTATTTCTGTTCAGTCGCCTTTCGTCTGCTTTTCCGTGCAGTGTTTCCACATTATATTTTATATCTATTTACCACTTGCAACCGTTTTTATTGGGTTGCTTTCTATTTCTCTGGACAAATGATAAGATGCTTTCCTACGATCTCAACGAGCGTTTGATGAGCGCCGTCCACAGCGGCGACTTTGGCCAGGCCCTGGATTGCATCCTGGAGGGCGCCCAGGCCACCTACGTCTCGCCCACATGTGGGCGCACCGCTGTGGGCACTGCCGCCCTACTGGGTGATGCCGAGCTTCTCGAGCTGCTCGTCCAATCCTGCGAGGAACCACAACTCAATGTCTATCAACAAGGTAAGTTCAAGCTGCAGACACAAAGCCTTTGGGCATTCACGGGCAACAGCTGGTCGCAGAAAATCAATTAAGGGGTAGTTCGCCAAACTTGTTTTCCCATTTCCTAAATTCGTTGTCGGCATGTTTTTATACATTTCACATCATTCGTTATATTTTGTTTTTGGCCATACGAATATTTTCCATTTTCCTAAAAATCTTTAATATTTATATATGTAAATATATTTATATATTTTATTCGTTAATTAATTTCTATTCTTTTAATTAAGACTGTTTAAAGAAAAAATATACAAAAATTTCTAGTATTCAAAATCTATTTTGAAACGAGATAATATCATAACTGGCTGGATTATGTGGGTTATCCAAACTTGAGATGATAAGAGCAGTTGCTGATACGGCGGCCTGAATAATATATTTACTCAGAGAGAAAAAATAAATATTTCATTGAAAGTAATTGAAAATAGATTTGAAAATATTCTGGATGTTGCCTGAATTTTAAAAGTATTGTAAAATTTTGTATTTCCCAATCACACCTATAATTTTCTTGCAGTGCAGCCAATGTCAGTGACCCAAATGCATTTTGGAAACTGAAAAAAAAAAAGAGAAACATAAAAAAGAACAACAAAAATTATCTAGAATGGGGGAATAGTCAGAGAGAGGGGTCTTTGAGGTCAGAGAGAACCGGCTGAAGGTGTAGCTCACTGAAGATAAGTCAGCTGAAAACGTAATGAAAAATGCACTTGTTTGGCCATCTCGATTTTCTTTTGACTTTTAGTAGGCGCTCAGGTAGTCGCACGATCGTTCACGTGAGGTACAAGGTGAGAGAACTACAATTGAAAAATATATATACTGAAATAACGTATACAAGATCTGTTCAAAGTTTCAATTGTTTATATAAATTATATATTTTTTAATATAACAATAAAGAAAACTTTTGTTGGTAATTACAAAGGCCAAAAACATTTTAACTCTCGAAATAGAATAACTTAAGAATTATAAATAGAAAACGGTTTATCGAGTAATTTGATTATTTATATATTATGATTAATAATTATTAAATTAATATTAATTAAATTAAATATTAATAATTTCCTGAAAAATATTTGTTGAAATAATATATATTTTTGTGGAATAAATTAATTAATTGGGTAGCTTTAAACATTTCTTACCCAGAATATTATTTCTTTCTTGCTTTTTAACCTTCTTAAAAAATTAAAAAAGTTTGAATTTAAATATTTAGAACAATTGTTATTAATTGTTAAATATGGTTATTTTATAAATACACTTAAACTCTAATTAATGACTACAAATAAATAAAAAATTTTAAAATTATTTTCGTTCTTCCCCTTCCAGCTCATGCCGATGCGCTGGAGATGGACATTACGCCCGAGGGTATGGAGAAGCTGGAATGGGTGGACGAGTTCGAAGGCGAAAGCTGGAGCTCAGAGAATACAGAGGGAGGCGTGGGCGATGGTGGTGGAGGCGTGGCCGGCGAGGATTCGCAATTATATCACTACTATGCGAAGACCTTTGAGAACACTGGAGAGTTCCTGACCCAGTGCTGTGCCACTTGCCGTCAACAGGATCCACATATCTACGACGCGGACCTGGTGACGCCGCTGCACTATGCCGCCGGCTGGGGCCACGTGGAGTGCGTCGCCGTGCTGCTCAAGCACCAGGCGCCCATCAACGTGGTCAACAGCAAGGGATATACGCCGTTGCACGTGGGCGCCGGCAATGCGGAGGTCACTCGCCGGCTGATCCAACATGGAGCTTTGGTCAATTCGAAGACGCTGAGCGACGGGAAGACGGCTCTGCACCTGGCCATCGAGAGCCGATGCAGCGAAGCGGCTCGCCTGCTGCTCCAGACCAACGTCAATTTCAATGAGACGGACGACGAGGGCGAGACGCCCCTGATGCTGGCCATCGCCTGCAGCCAGCTTGAGTTGGCCCAGGAGCTGATCGAGCGCGGAGCACGCGTCAATCTGCAGGATAGGGAGGGATATACGGCGCTCTATTTCGCAGTCATCGGCCGGCATCGGCAGCTGGCGAAACTTCTGCTGGAGCGTGGCGCACGACGTCTGCCGGCTCACCATCTGCTGCACCATTGTCTCGGTCCGGATGCCGAGGACCGGGCCATGGCGGAGCTGCTGCTGCAGCACGGCGAGAGCCTGAGTGTCAGGGACAGCGATAATCTGACGCCCATCATGCGTGCCATACACCAGCAGCTGCCAGAGATGCTCGCATACCTTCTGGATCAGGCCAATCAGCAGCGACTCCTTGGGCTCTACACGGATGCCCAGGATGTGGGCCTGCTCCTCTTCGCGGTGCAGCAAATCGAGCAGCTGTCTGCCTTCCGTCAAATTCTGCGCGTTCTTCTCGCCAAGCTGCCCAGCGCTCGCAGGGATCTGTACAGCTTCCAGGCGCCCACAGTCGTCTGTGGCTTCATCTACAGCGAAACGCCCCTGGCTCGCGCCATCAGCCTGCAGCGCCTGGACATAGCTCAGCTGCTGCTGCGAGAGGGCTGCAATCTCTCTCAGATCTCGATTGAACATGCTCTCACCGTGCTCCGGTCCATTGACAATCCGCAGAGCTTGGCATTCGCTGAACTCTTAAGTATGTTCCAATTCCATTTGTACTTCACCTGTTGAGTATGAATTGTTCACCTGATATTATGAATTGTTCTTCATATTACCATGTGTTCCACTTTTCCTCGTTCTGTTTCAGCTCCCAATTTTAATCTGTTTCCCATTTATAAGCTCCTTTGTTTTCGTCTTTCCAGGACACGTTGGTTTCAAGTTCTCCCCGCCCACCGAAACGAGCGATAGCTCCCAGCGAGCCACGCCCGCACGCTTGGCCTTTGACCAGAACCTGCGTCAGCTGAGCACACAGCCCCGGTCGCTGCAGTCGCTCGCCCGCCAGGTGATACGCCAACAGCTGCTGCGAGCGCTCCAGGCCGACTCCCAGCTCCACGCCCAGTATCCACCAACGGGCGAGAGCTCCACTCTGGCGCGCCTTGTCGACGAGGAGCTGTGCATGCCCCAGACACTGAAGCGATATCTCAGCGAGTTCTCGGATGTGCCGGCCATGCGTGGAGCCCATTTAACTAGTCAAATAATACGATCGGTCGAATCGTGGGATTAACATCGAGCATCTTGTGCAGAGTGCAGTATTTATTTAAGTTATTTATATTTATAAATATATAGAATATGTTTTAGCGTAGGTATGTAATGTTTGTAAATTGCCCGTTAGTGTAGTGTATGCAAAAAATTTAGGGTATTTACTTTTAGTGTGTAGGCACATACATATATATATATATATATATATATAATAATCATCTATATATAGAAACACACGCAATATAGATTTGCGATCAAACACTTTTTGCTCTTTACATTAACTTTTTAGACACTTTCAAATGTTACAATTGTTGCATATATATATATACATACACATTTGTATATATAGAGAGATTTGTGAAAATTACAAAATATGAATTGAGTTTTTTCTCTCGTGTCAAACTTTTTTGTGCTTACACCTTACAGGAAAAAAAACCATACATACACTATATGTGAGAACTAACTGTCATATATATATATATAATATATATGTATAAAAAGATAGATATATTCCTATAGAAGATATGATAACAATTACCATAACAATTTGGGGCACTTATGCATATATAGAGCTACAAAGTTGACTACTCCACCAATCACATTGATCTTCAGGCTTGGGCCTTAGGGCTTTAGCAGCAGCTTGAAATCGTCGTTGGCATTCTCCATGATATACTCAAAGGCGATTTTATCCTTCTTGTCCTTGAGCAGCTTCAGCGCTGGCTCCTGCTGCAACAGGTAGCGACACACCTCCAATTGGCCGCGCAAAGCAGCGCGATGCAACGCACTCTGCCCGCACTCATCCTGCAGCAAAAGATTCGCCTTTGGCTGCTCTGCCAGCAGCTTTACAATGTTCATATGACCTATCAATAGGAGACGTATTTAGTATATATATGTGTATGTTGTCTATAACATATATATAGAGTTATATTACCCATCATGGCCGCTCGATGCAGTGGCGTGGCACCCGCCTTTGTCACCGCATTCACATCCGCTTTGCCCTCCTCCAACAGCAGCTTGCAAATCTCTTCGTTTCCATTCCGCGCTGCATAGTGCAGGGCAGTGTAGTCGCAATCATCACGAGCCATCGCCTTACCCTTCCGGATGAACTCTCGCACACGATCCACTTCGTTGTAGATGGCTGAGGGTATGAAGGATATTGGATATTAAATACTTATATAGAACTCCTGTAATATCCAATATTCCTACTATAGAGAATATTATAATAGACAAACTCTACTTATATGGAAGGTAAAATAGATACTGGGAATTTCATAAAGAAGGGATTATATAAAGTACAGAGAAGGGGAATACCAAGTATTACTAATCATTTTTCTGGTCGGCATTTTTTACGGGGTTATTAATCATAAATGAAGAAAGATATACAAGATCAGAATTCACTTTGCAATGCTAACAGAGATACAATTAATAAATTAATCATGAGTTTTGGTCAAAACATTATATGGGTCTATATAAAAAGGCAGCGGAAATGTGTACAGAAGATATTAATGTTTGATCGATAACTCTAATGATAAAAACTTGATAAGATAATGGACACGGAGACAACAGGTAATTCTAGAGCGCCACATCTAGACCTGGTCAACGAAAGAATCGTCCATATGATAACTTTTTGTAAAATCCAGTTGGCAACTGAGAGAAGGGATATTATTAGAGGACATAAAACCAAAACCCGATTGTAATAAGCTCATAATTCTAACTTATTTATAAAATATGTATGTATATCCAAATTGGACATTTATAGAAATGAATTATATGACTCTAGTTAAAATTAGTTGGAATTCTGAATTACGTGTAAAATACTTGAAAAATGAAAAATGACTCACCCGCATTCCAAATGCCCCGATCGAAATCCATGTCGCTGAGCGTCTGCTGTGCCGGCTGCGTATGCTTGTGGCACTTGCAATTGTCTGCGCTATGCTGATCCATATTTCTTGATTTGATAAAGATGAGTTGATGATTGGTTGATTGATGATCGATATTTTGACTGAGGTTTTCTTAATGTGCTTCGAATCAAATTTTCCAACTTCGTTAGACCTCGCGCTGCATTGTCCAACAGATTTCCGCTTCGCCGCAGCTACAAACTACCTTATAGCTTAGTTGGGCTAAAGTATTCAACATAACCATGGGCGGTACAGCGACTAGGACGCCATTGACACAAGGCTTAACGGACAGACGATTCGACAGGGCTTGCACCTCAGCCTGATTCAAGCCAAACACGGTACAGGTGTAATCATGCAGTGAACCCTTAACGGTGACGTAAGCGAAGTTGCCCTCCGATTGTAGAATGGGCACGGGTATGGTCACAACATTGGTGGGGCAACTGGCTGGTACAGCAGCACCAGTGGATGTTGTCGATGGCACCGTCTGTGGGCATTCGCAGTTGGTTGTCGATTCCTTCGCCACTGGCCCCGCCTGATTATCGGTCATACTTTGCTTTTAAATATATATATGTATATATATATCTATTGGATAGGCTGTCAGAAGTGTTTTTCTTTTGAGGTTGCTATAGTTTCTTTACACACATATACACACGCACACACACACTTACACACACATACACATACACACACAGAGGGGAAAGAGCTTTACTCTGGGGAATCGACTTTATGATAATTGCCTAAACTGGCCGCCTCTCTGCCTATATTGGATAGATTCTCACGGACTACGGATACGCTTTCGGATTCAGGTTCAGGCTCGACGAACTCCTTGCGCATCGTCCACATATATTCGTTATAGTCCTGCTTAACGGCTGTCGATGAGCTGGCCACAACTCGAAAACCCAAAATCTGCAACACAAAATTTTGTTCTATTCTTTGAACTTGAATACCAAAAAGTTACAGTGAAAGCTCTGACTAACGAACTGCTCCATTTAAGAATTGAAAAATTAGTTTTCAACGTTTTTTTTTTTATTTTGAGTTTTTTTTTTTTTTTATATATCTTTTAGGAATTAATTTTACTGCCTTATTCCGGCTTATGACTTATCTAACTTTTTCCTATCCAGATAACAGAGCTTTCACCGTTACGTGTGTTTACTATACCTCTAAAGCTGATAATATGCGACACGGATGGACTAGATATACGATTGTGGACTCATCGCTGTAGCCGCCGCAGGAGAACTTGTTTAACTGTTCGATGTCGTCAGCTGAGAAATTCGAAGCTTATCAGAATGTTGTATATATGTATATATATGTGAATATCTACATATGAGTATGTCTATATACGTAGGTACATTAAAACTGTTTAAATTGGGGTGTTTATACAGTAGGGTAGTATGACAAGCGCTGAACAAAGATAATAACAACAATCAAAAATGCTTAAAGCGCCAGCGGCATGACGTCAACAGCTGGCCTCACCGCTCTGTCTGTGTGTGTGTGTGTGTTTTGTGCCTGTGTGAGTGCTAATTAAGCAACAACTCTGAACCAATCGAATAAGTGCCGTTTTTCTTTCAACTCAAGTCTAGCACGTATCAGTATGTTTAAAGAAAATTCTATGGGTGCACTGACTTTCCAAAATATATACTTCTCAAATATAAACTCTTTTAATACATATATTTATATCTGTGAGTGCGCGTGTGTGTGTGTATTTGTGCTTAGCTCACCATGCAAGGCGTAATTCAACTGCACTCAGTGCGAAACAAAACGAAACTGACGGCTCGAATGTGCGACAGAAAATACAATTAATCGAGAGCGAAGGAAGCAACGAGTGGGAGAGTGCAAAAGAGAGTGGAGAGCAAGAGAGTGGTGAGCACAGTTGGTGCTAATAGCTCATGCCAATTCACGAATACTCTAACTGTGACTTCATGTTCGTTATGGTGTTAAACCTGTTTTCATTTGAATTGCTAACGAAAAAGCATTGGCATTTAGCATGCTTAAAACATTAATTTTAAACTATGCGAATATTAAATAAGAGCTTCGAAAAATTCGAGATCCGAAAAACTTAAATTGAAAGCTTCACTAGGAAACATGTATGCCCTTTCTGCAATATTCGTAATCTACAGGGTACATAAAAAAGTAAGTAAACAAAATTATAAATTGAATTTCGTTTTGTGCGGGTTGTAGTGCTTCAAACTAATACAGTTATGTTTTATTTACAAGGCCATAAATCCGTTCAATACACTACGGCAAAAATAAACAAAGTACGCTGAAAAGCGAAAGCAACAAAAGCACATCATTTGAAGCGATATGACTGTGCAGCAAGCACTAATGCTTGAGGATGCCACTGTAAAGATGGACAGCGCTCACAACAGCAGACACCCATTGCCAACGGCAGATATATAAGCACACTCAGACACCCAAGGACGAGCTCATTCAAAAATTAGTTGGTAGTGTAAAGTGGAATAACCGAATACAAAGGAAAAAAACTAAACCAGACTTGGGGGCGTGAGCTTATGCACAAGTGTTTCTATGTGTATGTATGTATGTGTGTGTGGGGGCCTGAGTGTGTCTGTGGAAACGTGACGAAGCACACTTCATATACATAATTTGTGTCGCGCAATAAGACAGAAAGAATGGCAAACAAAAAGAAAAATAAATAATGAAGACGCAATTCAGCAAATTAAGTTGGCCCTCAAATATTGGTTGGCAACAAATAGGTAAAAAAATTCAACTGTTTAAATCTAATAAACTAACTGCGAAATGAGAAAGAAGAGTCGAAGGAGAGGCAGAGAGAATGAGAGCAATCTATACTGATGATTTACCTTTCAATCCAGAGACGAGCACACGCCATGGATATTTATGACTATAGGAGGCTAGATTTCCGCGTATGATAATGTACGGCATTTGGTATACTTTTTTGTTTTTTACCGATTTACTTTAGCTATTAATTAGCGCGGGCGGGGTCGTTGCGTTGTAAACCGGTTCAAACTGAATGACAATAAAAATCAAATAATTATTGCTACACGACGAAAGCTAACTGCTACGCTGACTGAAGGCTGGCTTACGACTAAATTTTGTTTGCAAGCTTTCAGGTTTTCCGTACTGAAGTAGTTTTATATTTGGTGCTGTAGTATTTTGTTTGTTTGCTTTTGTTTGTTATTAATGTGTCTGCCGTTGCGTTGCGTTGCGTTGCTCTCTGGCTCTCTGGTACACTCTCTTTATCTGCAACGGCTAGTAAACTATATTGGATTAACTCACATGAGCGTAAGCCATGAACAACTGATAGATAAAAACTCTCCACTCGAGTTGAGAGCGTGTCGTGATTGGCTTTTAGCGAAGCAAGCAATCACGACTATGGATTATTATTATAACAACTATAAGTCTATCATAACGTTAAATGAAGACCCAGAAAAAACAAGAAAAACGATGCAGTTCAAATTACTTATTTTATAGTTTTACAGTTTCGATTTGATTTATGACATAATTGCAATATTTCATGTAACAATAAGTTTCAATAATCGCCCATCTCTAATTTGTAGAGTGAGTAAAAGCGCGCTCTTGTAAGGATAAGTCTACACAATCACACACACATGTGCGTATATATACATACGTATATATGTTGACCAGTTGCATGTTTGGCAATTCACAACTCCATGAGCTATAATTACGCTGGCAACACCAGTGTAGGTTTATATATTTGGTCGTCAACCAAAAATAGTGCCGGTCAACAACTCCTACGCCGAAGCCGGATTCCAAATTGCACCATTAAAAATATCCATCTAACTCACACAATTCAATAGCACCCTTTCGATTGCCTCACATTCTGTCCTTTTGCGTGTTTTGTGCACACACACAAAATATTAATAAATATACACCCAAAAGTCATAAACATAACTGCTGTTAGGGGGCGGTTGAGCACAACAAATTGTGCTGTCAGTGATGTCATTTGAGATTATTTACTGAACTTTTGTTTCCAGTTTCTCGCCCATTCAGGTGCGCCTTTTTTACCGACATATTTTTAGGCAACTTACCTTATATGCATGCCACTTTGTGTGTACAATATTTGTTTAGTTGTCTGTGTGACGCTTTTGCACTTTAATTTTTATTTGATTTTATGTTTAATTTATGTTTACTTTTGCAACACGGTCATAGTTGGCGAAAAAAAAATATTTTGCAATAACAATAGCTAGAGATGTACAGCTCCGCCGATATGCGATAGCTGCTATTACCACTAACAGCTGCAGCGATATATCGATAAAATGTTGGCTATGTGATGAGCGCCGCTAAGAGTTGCGATTGATTTTGACGGGGGTTTGGTGGAAGTGCTAGAAGTAAATGTTTCTTTAAAATTCCTTGTAATTACTATAAATTAATGTGTATTTTAAAATGCAGAAACAAATAGTTGCAATGGTTAATTGAAAAAGTGCCTATCACATTCAATTGAAGTCCCAATATGAGTGCATAGGACGAACAGCTGGTAAGATGAAATGAAAATTGTTTATAGTGTATAAATATTATATGTTTATGTATGTATATATTTGTGTATTTCAGGTTACGCAAAACCCATTGATCGGGTTCATTAGAGTTCATAGAATTGACTTTTTGGCTATTACGTGAGTCGGCAATCGCTGAGACTCTCAAGTGCTGTAGACATCAGAAGCAGCTGCCAGAGTGTGTATGCGTGTATTTGTGTGTGTGCCTGTAACGCTCCCAGCCTCCAAGAGCAAGAAGGCAAACAAATAATCTCTCAGTGTGCGTCTGGCGAGCAAACAAGAAGCAACAGACGGAGGATTGCCATATAAACAAATCGTCGCAACAGCCGGTGCCATAGTCGGAGTGTGTGTGTATGTGTAGGGTATAGCCAAGCACAATGGCCCGTTTAACAAGTCTGCCAATTCTGCTGTGCATCATTGGAGCTTTGGCTCTGGTTGGACCTATGCCCGCCAATGGCGCCGTTGCCAACAGTCACAAGCACGAGAAGCATCTGAGCAAGGAACGGGTGAAGGATGGCAGCTATGTGCCCAGGGATGCACATCATCACAACGATCTGGGCGAGCACAACGTGGAGTTTGATCATGAGGCCATCATAGGTGGGTGAACGCACACGAAACCTCAATGCCGACTAATGTTTTGTTTATAGCACGCACAAACCGTTGTTTATATGTGGAATATGTGTATACCCTATAGAATATGCGTAGAGTGTGGTTTGATAGGATTTGGTGTACTTAAATATATGTATTAGGAGAAGCTAGGTAGCTACATGGTAGCAGCAAGTAGAGGACAGTCTTTACACTTATATTTGTTTGAGTTTATATTATGAAAATATTTATATAGTGTATAAAAGCACAATTCTATACTAAGAGGTAACTGTTAGTCCATCAAGGTTTTTATATTTGGCGCTATAAATTATGTTTCATATTTTCATACCCTGTAGACGATTAAAATGTGTGTGGGTATTATAGATGGTAGTTTTAGTTCGTATTCTATATATTATATATATGAGTGATTTCTCTCTTGTTAATTTTACCTATACCTTGCAGTAGTGGGAAGTCGAAGTTCAAGGTTTATGTCCTGTTCCCCTTAGAAAGAGAGTAGTCTGTACTCATTAGAAAGTAGAGTTTGACTACAGGGTAGATCTTTTGTGGGAATATTCTCTATAGGTCATTAAAAGTTTACTTCACAGTACATTAGGAATCCAGAAACTATTTATAGTCAAAATAAAATTCAGGGTGCACTTCAAATCGCAGGCTTTAGAGTATCTTCTAGTCGGGCAGGCCTCATCATATCGCATTTGTTTTTTAATATTTTGGACTTTTTGTGTGCGCACGTTTTATGCGTTTTGTGAATTAATTAGACTGTTTTCTAAAGCATGTACATAAATATGTTTCATATATTCCCATTTGCAGGCAATACAAAAGAGGCTCAAGAATTTGATACTCTCTCGCCGGAAGAATCGAAGCGACGTCTGGCCATACTCATCAAGATGATGGACTTGAATAATGATGAATATATCGATCGTCATGAATTGAAAGCTTGGATTTTAAGGTCCTTTAAGTGAGTGTTGTTTGTTGATTAACCAAACGCTTGAAAGCTAACAAAAAGCTAAAGCCTAAGCATGATCTATGTGATGTAAAAATCTATCCTTAATAATTGTATAGAAAAATATTTTTAATTTGTATAATATATTAATATTAAATTTGTTGCATAGGAAACTCTCGGAGGAGGAAGCAGCGGATCGTTTTGAGGAAATTGATCAAGATTTGGACGATAAAATTACATGGAAGGAATACTTGCAGGACACTTATTCCATGGAGGATGAGAACTTCAAGAAGGAGCTCATTGACTTCGACAGCTATGAGGAGGAGCAAAAGATGATCAAACAGGATAAGGAAATGTTCCATGCAGCCGACACGAACAAGGATGGTGTACTGAACCAGGAGGAATATGTTCTCTTCCAAAATCCTGAAGAGCATCCACAAATGTTGCCCATTCTATTGGAGCATACGATGCAAGATAAGGATCTGAATCATGATGGCAAAATTGAATTCCAAGAGTTCGTCGGCGAAGCAGCCAGCCATCATGACAAGGAGTGGTTGATATCGGAGAAGGATCGATTTGACAAGGATTACGATACAAACGGCGATGGAGTTCTAACCGGCAATGAGGTGATGATTGAAGATTGATATGGAATGGGAGTACAGTTCAATCTAAATCCATATAATTAATGCGCTTCTTAAATGCTTCCAGGTGCTCTCATGGATTGTACCCAGCAATACGGCCATTGCGGATGATGAGGTCGATCATTTGTTTGTCTCCACCGATGAGGATCACGACGATCGCTTGTCCTATCTGGAAATTCTGAATAACTACGATACATTTGTTGGCAGCGAGGCCACCGATTATGGCGATCATTTGCAGAATATACATCATCTTACCGACGAGCTGTAAAAAAGCATAAGATTATTTTACGAATTTAACTAGAGAAATCTCTGTGCTTAGAATTTTGTGTATTTTTTATTCATTTAGTTAGTTAAATTTAAATTGATGTACTAATTCATGTGACATACATAATACAGATATACATGTATACCCTTGTATTTAACAGTTTTCAATTTACTTTACACACGATCGTAGTAATTTATATAGACACCAAAAAAATATTTATATATGAGAAGCTACAAATATGAAAATACATAAAAATAATTTTTACTAAATTATTTGTCTGTTTTGTGTTTAAGTACTTAAGCTCTTAAAATTCTATAAATATTTATATATATATATATATACGCACTTAAGTGGTTTTTATATATATCTGGACAGATATATAGCTAGATGTATCTATTTATCTTATTAAGTAAACTTTTGCTTTATCTCATTTTGGTTTTTGCACATTTGGACTAGAATTCGTTAAAGTTTGTTTGCAACTGAATAGAATTTTAATTTTTATAAGTAATTATAAACATTTGCTTAACACTAATTAGCTGACTAGCCGATAATTTATACAGAATGTATTGGGTGCAGCTTTCTCTCTTTGACTAGATTTCACACTCGTAGCTAAAAATACATTTTATACATCATTTATAGGGTTTACTTAGATGAATGCTTATTTATTTAAGCTACATATATATACATATATCTGTGTTTTGTAAGTATTTCTAATTTTTATTCATTTACTTTTTCTTGCTGCCCTTTGACTTATATCACAAATATTGCACAAATATTGGCCTATTCATTGGGAAACATTTTAGCTAGGGAACAAAACGAAACAGAACAGAAAACAATCAAATTTATCGAAAATATGTAATATACAGATATTATGACAATACATATATACATATATATTTATATATGCCGATATATATATATATTTGCTTGCATATATATATATAGTATGTATCAAAAACTTGCTGACTGAAAACTTGAGATTTGCGCATAGAAACAACTTGCATTTGTCCACAACAAATATATGTATGTATATCGTACAGCTGTACAGTGAGCCCTCAAATTATGGCACATATGTTCGAGTTTCACGGGCATCGTCGTTATCATTCGTCATTCTTCATTCTAAATTGGCAGATCATAGTTGATCATGCACAGCTTCCCCTCATCCACCTATGGAACATAGCTTATCATAGATATACATAGATTATTTGCATAGACCAAGACCTAGCCAATTACTATATAACTCCTAGAAACCACATAATATATCATAATTGTCTACCTGGCGCAATGGCTCCATGTCGTCGATCACCTCGCACAGGTAGTCGCTGATGGACTGTGGCAGCTTCAGCTTCTCCACATCGCCGACTGTGTGCAATCTTCGCATGATCACCGCTCGACAACGATCCTGCAGGTTGACAAACTCCTGGCGGGCGCACTTAAGAGTCATTTCCGTTTTGGCTGCGGTGGAGCAGACAATGGGATAGAGTGGTTCGGTTACCTAGAGGGAGATTTATCAATATATGGATGTTATTTATACAGTAGGGAATGTTCTAGGCAGCTGGGACTTAACTAAATCGCAACTAACACAGCTAGACAGCTGGTATCGTGTTTAGCTTACCTTGTCTAAATCTCTGAATGCCACGCCCAGGCATTTGCCATCCTTATAGTAGGTTAACGTGCCCTCGATGCCATCGAAGAGTATGCCAATTTGTGTGGGATGATTTTCGCGGAAACGTTTTGTATATAGAAGTGCCACGCCCTTGTGCCAGAGAACGCCTTCAAGCGAAATAGTTGAAAGGGATAAGGTACATATAGATATTTGATGATCCTATTTTATGCAGTGAGCACTCACCCTTGTGGGACAGTCCCCAGCCATGCTCGTTCTCGCCTAGCATGTTGCGAAAGGCGTTGGCATGGAGCCGACAGTTTTTGGTGCCGATGCCGAACATGATCGAGGTGCCGAAGACCCGCTGTGAGACGTGCAGCTCCCAATAGTAGCGGCCGTTATTCAAGGGTCGCTTGCCCTGAATGCCGGCCGTGCCCTTGCTCCAATTGGGATGGAAGTGAACTGTGCGAAAGTTGGGCCCACTGAGGACCACCTCCTTGGAACGATTTCGCTTGCTCCACGTCCAATCGTCCTCTGTGCCATGCCCCAGGGGACCGGACGATAGTTCCGTTAGCGAGTGCTTTTTCTCCTGCATCAGAAATTCACAGCGGTGCTGATGCTGTTGGTGGTGCTGTTGGTGGTGCTGGTGCTGGTGTTGGTGTTGGTGTTGGTGTTGGTGTTGGTGCTGTTGTCGTCGACGTCGCAACGGCTGCTGAATCTGCAGCTGCAGTTGTTGTTGCTCCCATTCAAAGCTCGACATTACGCAAACGACTTTTATAATCGACCTTACAACTGGGCGTCAATATTGACAAACGTAAAAGATTCACAGCAAATTTGTAAATAATAGACCTCCTCGATACGCAGCCGACTTGATTCTGACGAGAGTCCCTTCAGATCGAAATTGTCTACCAATTGAGTCGGCGCCTTCTACACCTGGTTGCCTTTAGTGAGCTGAAGGAGTTTCCCTTTTGATGTGAAGTAGCCTAGGCCCGATTGTCTGTTGCGATGCTCATGCTGCCTCCCCTCATTGAGGAGAGCCCTTATCTAAGGCGGTCAAGAAGTATCCTACGCCCTCCGGTCCTTTGTGATGTGAATGCTGTTTGTGTCTAAAGAGCTCTTATCGAGCTGAATCAGCTCTAGAGATGACTCGTTATCAAGTGATTAATCGATTCCTGCTCTGGCTCCTGCTCCTGCTCTCGCTCCTCCTCCTCCTCCTCCTCCTGCAGATAGCTGTACGTGTCCTCTTGCAAATTGGATGCCAATGAGCCGTAGCCGCTGCTCAAGGAGCTGCTGCTACCTCGATTATATTGCCTATAGTTGATGGGATAAGTGCTCCTGGGCTCCAGGCTGCGTTTCAGCTCCCTACGTATCCGGCGCTGCTGCTTGTAGTCCTGCTCGTCGCCACGCCTCTGTGTGTGCAGCTGCAAGTGGAAATGGTGCCGACAATAGCCTTGCGGACTGTGGGCACAAAAGCGACAAGCCTCCAGATTGAGACCCGCTCCGAGTGGCAGAATTGGCTCCAAGAGGCGACGCTTTTGCTTGCGCTTCGTTTGCTCCAGCTCCTGGTTCTCAAGATGCTGCAGTGCCTTACGATCGCCCACCGTTTCGGCCAACTCCTGGATCACACGGACGTTCCGGGGAAAGCATCGGTCGTGAATGCGGAGCACCAAACGTTGGCAAAAGAGGCACAGCGATTGGAAGAGCAATAGCAAAACGATAATCATATAGACTGAAGTATATGGGGGTTGTCTGCCTCTATCTCTTTCCCTTTCTCTCTCTCTCTCCGTCTGTGTGTAGGAGTTGCTGGATTGTCCACTCGTTGTGCAGGGCTTCTCCTGGGCTCTCTTTGTTTGCCACTTCCGGAACTTCCTCCTAGCTCATTCAGCTCCAATTGGAGCTACGCGTTTTGCACTCTCCTAACTTTAATCACTACTTGCCTTACATTTTAATTGCAATCTTGTCTTTATACAGTTGTTATGCTCCTCTTTGCTCCCTTCTCTATTTTTGTGTGTTTTCTTCTCCAGCTGTTTGGCTGTAATTCCCAACCGCTCTCGCTGAGGTCTTTTGCTGTTCTGCTCGATTTTCCAATTTGAATTTGTAAAAGCTACCCCTATTTTCACACAGCTGGAACGTTTCTATATGCATTGTTTCTTCTTCTTTTTTCCACCACCAATTGGAATTTTGCAGAGCATGCAGGGTAGTATGAGCGGAGTGCATTTATTGAACATGCATTAGGGACTTGGAATTAATATTTACAAAATTAACATATTCGATTTTTATAAACGAAGTTCAGGCCGGGAACTGACTCAGAAAGTTAGGCTTATATCATTTTATAAGAAAGTAGAAATAGATAATATTCTTTATATTGAACTTATGCATTTTATAAATATTTTAATATATTTGAATCGTATATTCACAAACCAATACGATATATATAGAGTATCTTATAGTCGTATACTCTCAGAGCATTGGCCTCTCATTGTTATTGTGTGTGTGAGGGTCTACAGGCATATCATTATCATATGGTAACATGCGCCACCCTCTACCGCTGCTCCCTTCCTTGTAACTGTTATCGGGTAAACCCACCCCCCCACAATGGGCAGAGCCCCAACCCCTGTTTCAACCATGAAGAACTCGACATGCGCACTTGTGCCCGAGTCGACAGACCAAGTGGTGAGTTTTCATCGAACATCGTGAAGTTTGAATAATTCGCGTCTTCAAATTTCGTTCTCTTCAACGCTTATTTTTTAGCCACAAACCACCCCCTCCACGCACAACTCCATTATCAGGTGATGTGATTCATCCCTTAGCTCACTGATATGCAGATTAACTTTGAATATCGACAATATATCATCGAATTGCATATGAGATTGCTTATACTGACTGATTGACGGACTGATTGAATAGTTCATTAACTGACTGATGGACTACCTGACTGACTGATTGAATGATTGATTAAATGGTCGACTATACTGTACTATACTATATGATAATTCGATGTACTAATGGAATAACTGATTTATTGACTCATTAATTGACTGCGTGTAAACAAACTTGAGATAAAAGATAAATATATACATAATAGGGATATACGCATATTTCTGTGATCAATGTAATTCCAAATATAATTAATATTTGAAGAGTGGGGATTTTTATGTGATTCAAATATAATAGAAATAAATATGGAAATTAAAAGGATTAAGAAAAATGTTTTTATTTATTTTAAGCTTTTGTTTTCATGTTGTTTAATTTGGGCTTCGTTTTAGGCTCTAGCACAATGTTGAGTACGCAAACATATAATTTTGAATATCGTATCATACAATTCCTTCACATCTCGCCAACATATGGAAGATACGGATAAAGGAAACAAACAGGAGGAGGTGTATTATTAAATGTTGTTTTCTTGTTTTACATATTACCAGGCTAGTTTATTTGTTGTTGTTGATTTACTTAACTTACTCGTAACTAAGAAGCAGCTTACATTGGTTTTCATTTATTTTTGTTTTTTCTTTTAAAAAATGGCAGATACAAAAAAATGGCAAACTCGCTCCACCCTAATCGAGGCGGACCTACACATACATATAGTTATATATATATATATATTTCTTCTTTGGGTACTTTTTGTATATATTTGGTTAGTTGTTTGCTTTTAAGGAATTTGGTAGCAGTGTTGGTTCTAGTATGTGTGTTTGTGTATGTGTGTGCGCGTGCGTGTGTGTGTGTGTGTGTGTTTGTTGTTTTTGTTCGTTGGTATAGTTAAGGCATTACATTTAGATTAAAATTATTGGTGTGCGCTTTATGACGAGTTCTTCACACAGACTTGACACCTGGATACACGTGAAAGCAAATTGCCTGCTTTGAGCGTTTGCTGTTCGGGTTTGCTGAACTGATCGTTATCCTCTAGGGTAACCATCCAGAAGCTGGTCATTGTCTCATAGAAATGGCAGTGTCCCTTAGCTCCGTTGCACTCAATGAATGGAGTGGCACGGAAGTCCTCCAAGCAGGAGCCAGGCGATTGCAGAGCCTGACCACCGCCTCCATTACCCACAGCCGTGTGCTACATTATTTTGAAGATCGATCAGTTTATGTTTAGTCGATGTTTGGTCGTAATTAGCTCGGACTTACCATGAGGAAGCTGTAGCCAATCCATAGTCCTTCCCAGCCATTGGGGCAGTTGGGTATCGCCAGCGACTGGCTGTGCACGGCAATGACGTTCGCTGGTGCCTCGCAGACGACGCACCTTGAAATATATTTGCTAATCTCCTGGCTATTGACGGGCATCATAGGTATGGGCGCTGAGGTGGATAGCCAGAAGCTCTTATCGTTGCGCGATGCATAGTTGCAAACGTTGTTCTGTCCACAGGACATCACGGGCAATGTGGAGAAGCGTGGCACACAGGAGCCGGGTGAGCCCAAGTCTTGATTGTGTGCGTAGTCGTTGCCATCTACGTAAAGCAATGAGTAGCCCGTCCAGAGTTCTACATGTCCAGGAGCACACTGTGGCACCTGATCATTTTGGCTGTGGCGCGTCAGTAGAATGCCAGTGAGATAATCCTGTGCGCCAGTGCAGGGCAGGCCGGGCTCACCCTTGAAGCCCATGGGACCAACCTCACCTTCCAGACCAATCAAACCTTGTTCACCGCGATCGCCCTTGAGGCCTGGTCGGCCAACTGGACCAGTCAAGCCAATCGAGCCGCGTTCACCCTTCTCGCCACGCTCGCCCTGAATACCGATAAGACCGCGTTCACCTTGTGGTCCACGGTCGCCCTTCTCGCCATCACGACCGGGACGACCAGGCTCGCCCTTAGGGCCGGGTGGAGGAATCATGCCAGGCTCGCCCTTCTCGCCGCGCAATCCAGGAAGACCATCGCGACCGTCACGACCCTTTGGGCCGGTGAAGCCCTTCTCGCCCGGTGCGCCAGCTGGACCTGGATGGCCCGGCAAGCCAGGAGCGCCAGTATCGCCCTTAAGACCAGTTAGGCCGCTTAAACCAGGAGGACCGGCAGGTCCTGTGTTGCCCTTGTCACCCTTTTGGCCTTCCAAGCCGGGAAGGCCGCGATCACCCTTAATGCCGGGATAGCCAATGTCACCCTTTTCGCCTGTCGCGCCATCCATGCCAGCGATTCCATCAATGCCAGGTGGGCCAGTCAAACCACGTTCACCTTTGGGGCCCATGGGACCAATTGGACCAGGCAAGCCGACTAGACCAGCATTACCTGGCAAGCCGGCTAGGCCACGCTCACCCTTCATTCCAGGCAAGCCAGGAACACCTGTAATAAAATATGCTCATTTATATACAGCGCATTTTCAATGCTTTTTTCAGTTTGGCATTCACCTGGGCGTCCATTTTTACCAGCACGTCCTGGCAGACCCTTCTCTCCCCGGACAACAGGTCCTGGATAGCCGCGCTCACCGGTCAAGCCCATATCGCCCTTAGGTCCAGGCTCTCCAGCCAAGCCAGGAACACCGGCTGGTCCTGTTAAGCCTCGTTCTCCTTTCTCGCCGGGGTAGCCAGCTGGGCCTTGGTTACCCTTGATGCCTTGAAGTCCGGGCAAACCAGTCAAGCCAGGGCTGCCAGGCGTACCCTTTTCTCCTCTTAATGCAAACAGATCGACTTCAGCTGCTGGACCTCTGAGACCTTTTTCGCCTTTGTCGCCCTTCAATCCAGGTGCTCCTTGGTAACCGGGCCTGCCCGGAAGACCCATTGCGCCTTTTAGTCCATCAACGCCTGCTGGACCACGGTCTCCCTTGGCACCCTTGGCGCCAGGATAGCCGATTGGTCCAGGACTGCCTTGTGGTCCAGGCAAACCATCGCGGCCAGGAATTCCAGGACTGCCAGGCTGTCCAGAATTGCCTTTGTCACCCTTTGGACCAGGAGGCCCATTGAAACCACGGTCACCTTTCTCACCGGGCATACCATCTTGTCCGTAAAGTCCATCGCGTCCAGTATCACCCTTTTCGCCCTGTGGGCCTGGTCGACCGTGTACAGCAATTCCAGGCAATCCTTTCTCGCCTGGTAGTCCAGGGGCACCGGGTAATCCATCTTTACCACGCAGTCCGGAGACACCGGGCTCACCCTTTTGTCCCTTTTCGGAAGCATCGCCCGGCTCTCCCTGAGGTCCGTCAAAACCTGGAAGACCTTGGCTACCCTTCTCTCCAGGCAAACCATTCAAACCATCTTGTCCAGGCAAGCCACGTGGGCCCATGTCTCCCTTAACTCCCATCATGCCGGGTGGTCCAGTCGGTCCTCGACTGCCGGGCAGACCATCGTTGCCAGTCAAGCCACGTTCGCCTTTGTCACCCTTCATACCTGCAAAAGGTTGGGGATTAGTAAAAATAACACATAATATATTCAGTGTATTATTACTTACCGGGCATTCCTGCAGGTCCAATGGGACCGCGTTTGCCGGGAGCACCAGCTAAGCCAGTTAGACCTTTAGGACCATCGTTGCCAGGTGCACCGCGTTCGCCCTTGCTACCAGGCATGCCAACGAGACCAATACTGCCAGGCTCTCCCTTGGCACCATCACGACCTTGGACACCAGCAATGCCGGGTATACCAGGTGGCCCAGGGCGACCTTCCGGTCCGACTGGGCCAGGTTCTCCTTTCTGTCCAAGAGCGCCAGTGGCACCAGGTTGACCAGGCAAACCAGAATCGCCCTTGTCTCCGGGATAGCCAGGATTGCCCATAGGACCGATCATGCCAATAGCACCAACCGGGCCGCGATCTCCCTTCTCGCCTGTCAAACCATCGCGACCTGCAGGACCGGGTGGTCCAGCCACAGTAGCACCTTGTTCACCCTTTTGTCCGCGTTCGCCATAACGACCAGGTGGTCCGCGAAGTCCGTCCTTGCCATCGTTACCGGGCGCACCATATTGGCCTGGGTTTCCTTTTTCGCCGCGAGGTCCGGTGATACCACGAGGGCCAACCAAACCAGGAGGACCTTGTGGACCTGTGTCA